TTAAGCCTGCTCATCTGACATGGGACACATTAGAACCTAAACTTCCCAAGAAAGCACAAGGTTGCAATAAATTTCTAGGATAAATTTCTAGAAAGGAATGTGTGTTGAAAGGGAAGGTGGGTGCTAAAATCACAGTGCTAAGTAGCCTTAAGTCTCCTCAATATTTTTTTCTTTTCTGTGGTACTGGGGTTTGCTCTCAGGGCCTCACACTTGCTAGGTAGGCTATCTACCGCATGAGCCACTCCACCAGCCCCACCTCAGATACTTTCTATGAGAAATTAGCCCCAGTCCCTTTCTAACCTGCTTAAATGAGGAGAAATGATCTATAACCACTTCAACACACATTTCAGATTATTAAATAAGCTTGAAACTGATTACTCTTTGATCCAAGAGTAATTTATCATATGAAACACCAAAAATTTGGAAAGTTTCTGAAGCCCGTATTTTTCGCTATTCTTACAGCCTACCTAGATGACATAGTTTTATGGCTTTAAATCATACCCACACATGCTGAGGAGATTGACGTGTACCCAATCTAGACTTGTCATCTCATTTGAAATCCATCAGGGACCTCAAGTTAAATATGGTAAAAATGGTATTTTTTATTTTTCTCTAATAATCTGCTCATCCCTAGTTCTTCAAGCCCCAACAACCAAATCTTCGGAGAAGAAACCCAATGGATGGTCACTTTAAAGCCTGTGAGGGAAAAAACAATCCCTAGGAACATGAGGTATGCAAAGGTGATTCTTGATAATTCTTACCTAGAATGTTCTTCAACCTTGCTATATGTTAGTGTATTTCTTATGGGAAAGTCAGGCTGGAATATCTGATTCTGCTCAGGGGAATCCAAAGGGAATCTGTGAAGAAATTGCTTATTCAGTGACACTTGTATGGTAGAAGTTTTTCTGAGGTCTGGGCATTAGGAGAGACCCAGCAGTCTGGCTGGATGCCAGTCAGTCATAAGGTATTATGAAAATTTCTGGGAGTGGCAAGTTCTTTCAATTTCAGAAATGACAGTTTATCAGGTCTTGATATTGGTTGGACACTGAAATTACTGATGCAAACAAATTAAAATTTAAGAACATATGTATCAACATATGGTAAACAGTGTGATTGCAGAAAGATCTACATAATGTTACATCTAGCAGGTTTTTCTACAGGTGACACATTAGGCAGCCATATTCTGGTTTTAAAGGCCTTTGAAACAGGAAATTTTATAAGCAGAAAAAAGAGTCAAGTTTAGAATGCCAATAGTTAATGATACAAATCTAAGATAGCCTGATGCATTCATAATCACAGTAACAAATAATTGCTTCAGGGATTAGACTTTACCCTAGGGCTTTCCTTGCCTGGAGTAGTCAAACAGAGCTTTAGAGACTATTTTCTGCCTTTACAATTAAAGTATGTCCCATTCAAAGTGACAAGACTCCTCTACTGTTATTACACCTAATATTTGTTAAATCATAGTTACCTAGATTCAAACTGTTACTTGCCTATGATTTCTCTTGTGTCAACTCTGATCCTCTGACTTGAGATCATGGTTTAAGAGTACCTTGCTTACATGTTCTTTCGGAATATGAGTCTTTAGAACCTTGCAGATGGATTACTCAATCTGGAGAACCTCAGAGTATATGTTACCTACAGACCCCATTAAGACTGTGTAGCCTAATTATACATATCTTCATTTTGTTCAGATAGAAACAGGGACTTGAGGCCTTGGCTAGGTCATAGTCTGTGTACAGTACTTCCAAATCCTCAGAATAGTACTTTTCCATCTCAACCATATTTATTTATCAACTCCAAAGCATAGGATTTCAATGGTGAAACAGATTGGTGTGAAACATGTTTATAGACAGTGACAATTTTTTAAAATTGCTGTTTCAATGAAATCATGAAGAAACTTTGACCTCAGGCAGGTGGTAGAGACCTCTGCCCTTCCCCCATTCAGGTTACCTTTCAACTGTGACCTCATCACTGACATCATACTCCCTAAGGCTGGTCCAAGAAAGGAACAGCCGCCCCCTCTATGGGAGCCAGGCGGCTGCAGGGCTACACTGGGAGGTGGCATCTGCAGGACGTGGGTGAAAGGACATCACTGGACACCTACGGGTCCCTGCACCCAAGTGTGCTCAGTGCCACACCTAGGCTTCCACAGGTTTGTGTTCCATAGTGTCCTCAGTAACCCAGCATTCTGTTCTCAAAGAAATATGGCACGGGCTAGGGAAGAAGCAGGGGACAGCCAGCTGGTGTCTGGTCGGGAGCCATCATCACATATCATCAGAGTATCTGTCAAGACCCCACAGGACTGCCAGGATTTTTTGCTGTCAGAAAATAGCAATGTCCGCCATTTTAAGAAGCAGATCTCCAAACGCCTTCACTGTGACACTGACCGACTGGTACTCATCTTCATGGGAAAGATCCTTCGGGATCAAGACATTCTGAGCCAGCGTGGCATCCTGGATGGCTCTACAGTCCAGTTGGTGGTGAGGACTCGTTTGAAAGGACCAGCCTATCCTGGAACTCTGCAAGACCCCACAGGCCACTGCACCCATCCTCCCGAACCATCAGCCTTTGAGGGTGCAGGAATGGTAGGTAGGCTGGGCCGGCTGGTCCGGAGTTCACCTGATCTAGCTGACTTCTTTTGCCAGTTGGTTCAACTGCTGATGACTGCACCAGAGTCTGTGGTACAGTTCTTGGAAGACCCTCTAATTCAAGGCCTGGCAAGTGAGAAACAAGTCAATGTCAACCATGTTCCTGAATCCTCAAGGCCAGTACAGAAACGTGACCCAGCTCTCAAGCCTCTGGAAACTTTTCAGAAGCCAGTCCAGAAGCAGGAGCTTCTGCAGGAAGACAAGAAGAGTCTGGAGGCCTTGAAGGCAGTTCCAGGTGGTGACTATGCCATGCGTCCAGTCTGCTCTGATATCCAGCAGCTTATGCTCTCCACTCTGGCCCTATTGGTTGACTCTAAAGGTTATGTTCCAGGTCCAGAATCTTGTAGAGAAGCCAATGCTCACAGCAGTTCTGATACCACCACCACCACTATCCCCACCACCTCTGCACCTGCTAGGCCATTGGTACAAGAGGTCAGTACAGGGGTAGTTGCCCAGGCCAAGGGTATGGTCTCAAATCAGCCCACTTCAGGGTGCAGAACTGGTATGCCAGACTTAAACTCAGGGGAAGATCTTCTTTCCCAGGATAGCCAGCAACCTGTAGAGAAAGCCTCTCTAGCCTGTCAGTTGAGACCTCTGCCCTCTGTTTTGCACAGAGCCTTGCATGTCCTGCAGCAGAATCGAGCTCTGTTACACCAGCTGGCAACTGGCAGCTCCCAGTTACATCATATTCCACTTCTTCCCATCTTTACCAACCCACGAGCACTGCAGGCATTGATACAGATAGAACAAGGCCTACAGATACTGTCCAGGGAGGTGCCTGGGCTGGGATCATTTTTATGGGACCCAGCTAGAACATGTGGGGCTAGAAGAGTTCCAGAAACTACAGGTAGAAGACAAGGTAATAGAGAAGAACCTGTGCAACCCACATTGGCTGTTCTTCATCTCCTTCATGCAATGGCCAATGCTTGTTCCCAATGTACCCAGTCCTCACTATCCTCATCCCTCTTCACTGGAAATCGCTACCAGCAAGAACTGGAGCAGCTGAAGGCCCTGGGTTTTGCGAATCATGATGCAAACCTGCAGGCCTTGATAGCAACAGATGGAGACATTCCTGCTGCCATTGAGAGGCTTCTAGGGGTGCCACAGGCCTAGGGCCCTCCAGCCAATGCTCCTAACACACCATCCCATGGAGAGAAGGGAAACAGGAAGGAGGGAGGGGAGGGAAGTCACTTATTTAGGAATTCCTCTGACTCAGGTCATGGGGCATGTTTGGACAATCCCTCTGTCACTGCTCAAGCCTCTTCTAAATTAAAAAAGATTCCTTGGGTGACAAGTGTGTTGTAAATTTGGGGGTGAGTGAGCAAATGGAACATTATTTGGAGAGATATTGATTATGTTATATGGTTTTGAAACTGGGCTTTGGTTATTTTTAGGTCTTTTAAAACAAAGGGCAGGTAAATCCTGAGATTTTTGTTGTGTTCACTGAGGATCAATAGGTACCCCACCATGAATCATTTCTGTTCCACTCCATAGAGACTGAAGGAATCCTGGCTGTTGATTTTCCAAGAAGCTATAGCTTTTTTCAAGGCCTCTTGAAGTCACCCTTTTGCCTTCATGTTTCTCTGTTTACAGAGCCAATCTCTTAATGTGGCAGAAACTGTGTAAATTGCCCTTTTATGCCAGGACTCTGGTCTGTAGGAAGCACTATTCTCTCCTTCTGTGCAGGCTTCTTCCTTTTATCTTTCAAGATGCTTGGCTTTGCTGACTTGTCAGCTGTTGACATTTCTGAATTTTTGCCCATGAATTTCTTGCAAGTGTTTCCCTCCCGTCCCAGTGGCAACATTTCACCATCCTCTTCAGTCAGAGACTCCCTCCCCTCAGTAAAGTGCTACAACTTTTTCAAAACTTTCTCATCTTCCAAAAATTTTCTATGGAATTTGATCTACTGGCTCATGCTTCTTGAAGATGCTTCATTTAAGCAATTTCTAATCTATTCCTTAATAGAGTATATTGTACCAATTCTTTCTTTATTCATCTTTCAAAGAGTTTCCCACTTTCATAGGCAAAGCTTTGACTCTTCTATACTCATGATTCCTAAATCTCTTAGTACTTTTGTACTTTTCCCAGTGCCTTCTCTTCCACTGTCCTAGAGTTTATAATTTCCAAATATAGTTAGTTTAGTACCTTTCCTCTAGCCCACTCCTACTCTAAATATTATGTTTTCTGTATCTCAGTGACAGTCATCAATAGTTTCGCAATCCACCTAGCCACTCAGCCACTTTTCCTGTAAACTTCTGATCTGTTAGTGACTCATAGAGCAGGCAGATGGAGCATGCTGTAGAGTACAATGGCTAGATGCACCCATGTAGCAGCACAAAAGTTGGTGGAAAGATGGGGGAAGTATGGAGAGCATAGTCAGAAAGTTACTCAAGGAGATATGAGGGACTAAAAATTCAGAGCCAGCCTCAGGAGTCAATGAAGTCTGAGATGATAAATATCTGACTTATGCCTTCTTGGGCAGGAAGGATGGACATTTCTGAGGTAGACACTATGACTTAACTGTGTTGTGATGTGAAGGTTGTGAAGGCCAGAGACTGGATCAAATATCTCTGAGGCCTCATTTCCTAGCAACAAGCCTGGTATGCAGTTTACTCTTTATTTTCCTTTTACACTAAGGTATTGGTCTGAATTTCTGAGGTCAGTTATCCATGGTTGTTACCAGGAAAGAATTGCAGTCCCTGAGGTAGAGGGCAGATAGTAGAAAGTGAAGTATTCTGGGATCCTAGAAGTAGGCTTCCCTTTACTCCATCATCATGCAGGCTACAGTGTCTAGACCCTTGAGTAGGGTAGAAGACATTATTGCCATTATTGGTAATGGTCATGTTGGGTCCTGAACCCTGCTACACCTTGATGGATGACAGCCTACTGGTTTGCACAAATCATTCCCCACAATACAAGATTTAGTGCTTCAGGATGATAAAGGAGTCCCAAATAGAAGTATAAGTAGTCAAGCTTGCTGGCAAAGCTAAAGAACCCGTCACCTGTTATTTATGGAAATTGAAAGCTTGGGCTTTGGTTGGCAAGGAGAAACCATGAGGAAGAATTTCCCCATATTATCCACAGTATACCAGACCAGAGTGGAGGCAGTAGCTAGATTCCTTAAGTAATTAGATACTGTGTGGTACCTGAATCCCAGATTATCTATCTAACAAGACAAAGGGAGGTGAAGATTGACTGAAAAGCCAAAATTAGAGAAAAGAGTGGGGGATTTATGCTAAAATAATTCTTTTATGCAATATCAGTGATGAGTTTAGTATTAAAATTTTAGGAAAGAGAGAAGGATGCTGTGTAGAATGGGTGAGCTGATCCCATAATACTCATATTTGCATGTATCACCTCACATTATAAGAAAACAAAACAAAACAGAAAAACTATGATGAGGCACATAGTAAAATCATAAAGCAGACCAGGGCTACCTAATACTGAAGATATCAAACTGTACTACAGGAAGTATAGTACTGTAGAAAACAAACTGTGATAGCCAGATACATGACTATCCATAGTCATACAATATTAGAATTAAAGGCATAGAAATTAAATATCTCCACTTAATAGCTACTATCTATTGATGTCTACCATGTCCCATTATAGATGTATAACACAAAACCATGAGACCTACATGATATCAATCACAGGCAACTATTCATACACAGAAAAGTAAAACTAAAAGAAAATCACAAAATATAATAAAATGAGTTTTCTTGCAGCAAATAAAACTAAAATACTCAACTGCTTTGCTCAATACAAGTTCTTAGGAACTTTGTCAGTTAAGTGGGAAACTGAGAAAGTGGTTCCTTAAAAAATATCCCATGATGGAGCAATTGATGAAAAGTCAGGTAGCAAGGTATAACAATCCCAGTACCATTCTTTAAGCAGTAGGAACAATTCAATTTTGTGATATTAGAGCTGCTATTTTAAACTGCCTGTAAGATACAGGATATTATTTTTATTTTGCAGTTATACAAACAGAGAGATGAAGTGACTTGCCACTTATGTGTGGGTGGATTTTTAAGCAGTTTCTTTCATTCCAGCATCCTTCTATGCATCGTACCTCTGTGCACTCAGACTACGAGTGTGTGGGATTCAGAGACACCATTAAGGATCAGGTCAGACTAGAAATGCTTGGATTTGATTTTGATGGAAAATTTTAAATTTCTTCCTCTATTTGCCTGGGGCTGTCTTTGAATCACGATTCTCCCGACCTCTTCTTCCTGAGTAGCTAGGATTACAGGCATGAGCCACCAGTGCCCAGCTTCTTCTTTTAAAAATAGTGGTGGCTGATGTCACATGGGGATCCTAACAACTCCTAAACTTTCACTCTGATGGAGGTCCCAGGGCTGGAGGCCATCCATGGTTGGATTATTGTCCTTTTTGGTGTCATGTATCTTGTAGCACTCCTTGGTGATGCTGTTTTCATCTTTGTCTTTGGGACACACAGTGGTTTTCATGCACCCATGTAGCTCTTCCTTTATCTTCTCTCACTTACTGATCTGGCTCTCAGTTCTACCATTGTGTCCAAAATTCTGCTTATTTTGTGGTTGTATGCTGGTGAGATTTCCTTTGGTGGATGTCTGGCCCAGATGTTTTGCGTCTAAGCTATATATGCTCTGGAGTCCTCTATTCTTCTTGCACTATCTTTTGCTCAATATGTGGCTATCTGCAGCCCACTGAGATTACACAACCATTCTCAACTGTATGGTCACAGGCAGAATTGGATTTCTTGTGATATTTTGTTTTGATTTTCCTATTCATCTTCTTGCTGAAGGACCATCCTGTGGCCACCAAGTCATGGCTCACACATATTGTGAGCACATATGCACTATTCGACTGGTCTGTATCCAACTTCACTATCAATGATGTCTGTGGGCTGACTGTAGCTCAGCTGGCCCCAGGGTCTTGAAATCCTCATTGCCATTTCCATGCTGACTTTCATCTTTCATTCCTTGATGCTCAACACAAGACTTGGAGCCTGTGTGGCTCCCACTTCAGTTATCAGTCTAGTTTTCTATATCTTAGCCTTTCTCGCCTACCACTCACCACTGAGTCCTCAAACATCTGTACATCTTTCTATCCAACTTCTAGATGTTACTACCTCCTGTGTCTCAGCTCTTTTATCTATGGGAACCAAGGAGATTTGTAGTCCAATATCCCTCTGGGACTGCCTTACTTTAGAAAGGGCATGATCTGACTCCTCAATTTGAGATAGAAGAAGATGAGGATAGTATAAAAGCTATATGGGTGGTTGATAGATTTGTGGGTGGAATGGAGACATTCTGGGATCCAAGCTAGTGAACGTGCTTTCTAATGCTAGACATATTACTGGGCTAATCATGAACTCATTTCCCAGTACCTGAAATCTTTTATAACTCTGTGATCTGGTACATCTAGTGGACTCATTTTAAATACTGCTGTGGGAGTTTAGAGTCCTGAAACCTGGTTCTGCTTCTTATACTAACTTCTTTGGTCACTAACCCTTACTTTCTTTTAGAAATAACAGGAGGATCACAGCATCAGGTTACCAATGTGAATGTGCTTTGTGAGTGGCTGCATTGTGAGATAGGCTTTTTAGTCCAAAGAAGCCAAGATTTTGCAGGAGTGGGCACAGGCACACAGACAGGCATTTCAGCAGCAGAATAGCAATTGCAAAGACAATGATCACTAACTCCCCACCTCCAGCTTCTTTGTATGTTTTCTTTCTTCCTAAAATCATTATGTTACTGGTTCCCTTTAGTCCATTTGGCATTTACTGTTTCAAAAGACAAAGATTCTTCACTTCTTTCATTGTGTTCTTTTAGGCAGTCATCTTATTTGTTCATTTGTTTACTAACTTATTCAATAACACCTAGGCTTAGTCTTAAGTATAATCAGAATAAAGGAGGGAATAAAAGACCATCAATAATGATTTCATAATGGAGGTAATATTTAATCAATATTTATAGATATGTATATGGAGAGAGAGAGAGAGAAATGAAACCCACCATATACTGTTTGAAAAAAGGGGAGGAGAGAGAGGGGAGTGGAGGAGTTGAACTTGTTCAAAGTACACTATACACATTTATAGAATTGTCACTATGAAATCCTGTTGTGTTATT